CATCATATCACATGTTTCACTTGAGCAACTAGGAGATTTGTAACACAAGAATTACTCTACACTTGTCTCCATCCACATATAGATCTGCAGCAATTACCTCGTATCCACCTTGCACAGCCTCACCAAAAATCAAAATAGGACAGAGAGTATGTTTGATCAATAGTAGGACACCCCCACCCTTTTTTCTTTGCCTATCACACCTAAAAATTCCGTAGCCCAAAACCAAATCTCCAAGTAAATTAGAAACTTCGACGTTACTATTCAACCAGGTTTCTGAAAGAGCAATCATTCCGTAATTAATGAATAATGAGCTGCTGTAAAGGATTCAGGACATCGTTTCTGCAATACTTATGAAATGGTCATAACTTTGCGACCTGTGCTTTTGAAACTTTTCGTGTTTTGAGTTACGTAACTTTTCGACGCGTCGTACGTTTGTAGTCTTATCTGGTCGTTCTAGAAGGCTCGTACCTGATCTGAGAAAAGTTTTCCCGACTGTCGATCTTTCCAGTTTCAAGCGCACACTGTTACCCTAGCTCGTGCCGCAACAAGACTAGATACTTGATCGGAGTTGAAGTTGTACCCCCAATGCTGGTGGATGTGGGGGATAATAGGTGCAGCGCAAGGATCACGATCATGGTAATGTCAGCTTGTCCCGTGACGCGTTATCAGTTTTGGATATGGGGCCCAGTTTTTCTCCGAGCCGGCCTGTGTGTCCAACCATTTGCCGCAAATTTGTCGGTAGCCTGCAATCACTGCACGATAGACTACGACAAAGGGCGAAAATCGAAACACGGCTCGGAGGGATCAGTACAGCAACTAGCTCTGTATACCGCACCACCCTTTCCCGCATGGGTCGCAGGAGCCTGACCAAGAGGTGGACCTAAAATTCCGTATATTCGCAGACTCTCTGCTTGCCGATATTGCGTCGTAATGCCACTGGAAGATTAACGAGGAATCTGACTCCGGCTCAGAGTAGGGGTTTACGGGAACTGAGAGCGCTTTCGGAGGCTGGAGCTATAAAGATCAGCGTGAGCGACAAAGGGCGGGGAGTTTCGTGGTTCTGTCACAAGAAATGGATAGAGCCATTACACGTGCACATCTTCAGGATCGAAGATCTTTGTTGCCCTACCACACCATTTGTACCTCCAAGGAAGTACAGATAGCCATCATACAAGTATACGCGCCCGCAGCAAATTGCAAGGAAGAAGAACTCGAAGAGCTCCTACACAGCCAGAAAGGCTATGTCATAGTGATGGGCGATTTCAACGCCCGAGTCGGATCGCGAAAGGACGGTGTTTATCGGTCCCCACTCTGCTGAGCAGCGCAACGATGCAGGAGAAAGGTTGGCAAATTTTTGCGAATCGCACCATCTCTTTCATGGCAACAGTCAGTTTCTCAAAGCGGCCTTCCAAAAGATGGACTCACGTGTCACCGAACGGGCAGCACTTTCATGAAATCGACCACATACTGTGCAATCGAAGAGCTGCAACTGATGTCGCCGTTGTTCCCTCCTTCAACACAGGAAGCGACCATCGCCTTCTACGAGCACGGTTCCACTTTGATCGAGGCCTGATACGAACGATACGCGTGCGCTCAAGACAAGCATGCCCCGGACAGTGTTGAATGCGGAATTAGCAGCAGGATTAGCGAGCACAGAATCATTGAA